ATAAACGTTAAATGTAACATGGGAATTTTCAGCGCGTTCCACAATGTTAAGCTACTAAACGTACACTATAAAACAATTGATAAATGAAACCTTCGATTCATACGGGTGATGAACTTTAGTGACTATAGTATTTCAATATAAATGAGCTACCAGCTCCAGAGATCTAGAAGGTACGACCTATTGTCTACAGGCAGCCCTACAATAGAAACTAATTGCAAATACACCCTTTCCCTTATCCCTGCTATGATGAGTTGTTGTACCGTGAAGCCATCTTGGTATTAATGAGCCTTCGGATGAACTTTTTTATACTTTTCGAGCAGGTATTTTCAGCATTTTATTATTTGACGACTAAGAAATTTAACAAAAGAAGATAACCTAAAAATGTGTTACTCGTTTCTCTAATACCACAGAAAATATACCATTTGTGGTATATCGTCCGTGGTAATACCTACTGTACTGGTGAAACTTAAATATTGTTATTGATTGAGAATCGCAACTAGATTTAATAATTTGTATTAGCATATGATTAGCTAAAACTAAGTGTAAAACTTCATGTTGCATTTTTTTATTAGTTTTTATACATTTTATTGTACCGTAATGCTATTGTTTAAATGTAGGCCTATTTTTTTATCCAAGCTAATATATCTAAACAAATTCGTCTGGGGTTAATTTAGTGAAAGGAAATCCTCGGTCATACTATTAGCCTTAACATGCAAGAGCACTTTCTAAGCTGCCCCTTGGTTTTGGTGGGTTTAGGGGGAGGGGGTGGAAAGGAGAAGGTTTTTAGAAGAAATCCCCTTCAGTGAAATTTATTCATATTCATCCTCTCAAACCCTGGTAATAATCCACTACATTTGGTATGTAGATTAGACGATAATTGAACATGGCTTGGTATCATTGGGATTTGGTAAATCTAAATCTTATTGATTAACTTCTAGATATAGTATTTAGTTAATTATAATTTTTTGGCCAGTCAAAATACCAATAATTAGTCACCTTATTAGATTTATAATTGGTATTTATTTGTTTTACTTCTCCAAGGAAACTTGATCGTTAATATAAGTAAATCAGTTCCCTCCAAGAAAAATTTTGTATTTTATGTTTCACGAAGAAGTTTTATTTTTTGTTTTTGTTTTGAGAAGAATATATTGATTGTTTTGTCCTTTTATGATGGTTGGGAGGGAATTGTTAAAAACCAGAAGAGATGTTTCTCGTTTTATATAATCAATATGTCAATATATTATGTAGTATGGTAGTAACCATATTACATATAGTATACATATTGGCAAGACTAAGTTATTATCAAGAAGGCCATGGGGAAGACGCGGAGAATAGGCGAAGAGGACCGGCTCTCTGTCTTGGAAATTCTACCAGGGAGTAAACATCGCCATTTTGCTATCACTTTTTCTTAGTCCAATTAAGCCTAGCAAATGTTCATTTATTTGCATTTAGTTTAGGTAGCCTACCCAATTTTGTCCCCTAGCACTTTTAAATTTTACTTTTGATAAATGTTAAAACCTTACCAATAATCAGTTTTTGTAAGTGTATGATAAAGTAAACTATTAACTATAAATAATGAGGTCTTAAAATTAATTAATTTAAGATGTCAAACCACTCTTTTGGATACACCTACATAAATATTATTTTATAAAAGTGTATAAAAAATGTCAGAATGGAAATATATAATTATCAAGAAATATAAGGCCAGACCCATCACGAAAATGAAGGTGAACAGAAGTCTAAGAGCAAACAGAGAAAGCAATCAAACTTTATGGAACCTCGTTTCTTAAGATAACGATTCTTTTACGCAGATGAAACAAATAAATGGAGATCTTGTCTATTCATGAATCATTTGTTAGTCTACGAACTTTTAAAAAGATAACAAACAATTTACAAAACGTAATTACATTTTTTGTATTTTAACCATAACAATACGCAATTTATTGTTATATGGTACTGATTCTAGAAATTTTCACTAAAATGAGCGAATAATAAAGCAACGAGAATAAACAAATTTTTTATTTAACACATTATTGTAGTAAAATACATGGTGGAAATCATATGTTTTGTAGTGCCTACTGTTTAGTAATATCTTATAACAAAATAATGACTTATACAATAATTAATTCTTTAAAAAAATCTAAGTAAGCCCTTATGATGTTCTAAATGTGGGGAGCCATTTATACTGAACATGTTATTAGCCTATTACAATTTATCGTCCGTATTAATGTGCCAATTTAGTTATACTGTTGCTGATAATGGGTTAGTAACATTATAATGGATTTGCTGTTTTTGATACCACAAGGCTCTAGAAAATTAGATAAATTTCCTATGTATCTAATCGATATCATAATAATTTGAATCGTTTATGTTTGGGTGCGAGACAAATACATAAAATATATCAAATAGGATTATAATTTATCACTTAAGTTTGTAATCTAGACCCAAATAGGTGATAGTGAGTCAAATTAAATGCAAAAATTGTTTTGACTTGGCATTTATACTAAGCCAACAAATGACCAACTCAGAGGATTAGTTAATTAAAAATTAACTAAAAGATAGTTTATTATTTTATCAGTATCCATTTCATTAGTTACTTATTTAGTTAATTAGTAATCGATATCCTGTAAATTTTTATTATCAAACTAACGTTTTCATTTACATAAAATAATTTAATTAATCGTGATAATAGCGATGCAAATATAATTATATTAAACCTGTATGCCTAAATTAGTGGTGAAGTTAGACTACTTTTATTTGCATGGAAGGGAAATGCATAAAACGAATGCATTTGTATTTGACTTGAGCATTTATGTTTGAACTCGTGGATAATGTATCAAACAATATGTCTTGGAGTTTAAGTTGATCGTTTAATTTAGCATGAATAAATTAGTTTTTCATTTACAGCAAAGAACTTGGCTGTATTTGTATTGACTATGATTTAATGAAATTTGTCGTATAGTGAAAGTTTAACCATAAAATAACACATTAAAAACTTTAACCTCAGTTAATTCCATCTACTCGATTAAGATATTTCCAAAGAGCTAGGATCAAAGCTTAAGTTGATGATATTTTAACTTTAACACAAAAGATATTGTGTCTAGCATTAAAATAATTAGTTGGTTCTTCGACAACACAAACTTGGCTTCATTTCTTCATGATAATATTTCTGAGCTCTGCGTGAAATGTGATGGATGAAGACCCGAGGAATTAGTTAGAAACATGAAAGAGCACTCTCGCCCTCCTTCTCAGCACTGGTCTGGAAAATTGCTTGAAAGCCATGAAAGAAAGCTCAGGATAAAGATTATGATATCTACGTAACCTTCTGAACTAAGTCAGCTGAAATATGTTTGTTTGATGTTTAAATAATGTATCGATATAATGTCAGATGAATAGTGTATAAACATATCTACAAGGTTTCCCATGTTAGTGAGCAAATCGTATATTTGACAGAACTGTGACTTATGAGGTTTCATAGCAGTTAAACGTCATTGCAAAGATAAGTCTTCCACAATGGTATAGTATTATAATTTTAAAGGGCAGAATTAGACGCATTATGATTTTACTACAATATTTTACACTAAATTAGTCACGAATGTCACTCACAAAAAGTACACAATGTATTACAAATGACCAGAGGGGCTTGGATACATATTAGTGTGCATTTGGTAAACTTAAAGCTGTTGTGTTTAGTTTACAGTCAGGACACCAGGAACAATGCAAAACGAGAACTAAACCACATACAGAACTCTACCGAAACTCTGCTTTCAACCAAATTGGAAAATGGGAGTGGTAGGAGGTGATTGCACATTAACAAATTGCAGTGAAAGTTTCAGGTACAAACTGAGTGTCATACAAAACAGCTCGCAGTATACCTTAAACTTCTCTGAAACGTTTGATTGTGATTATGGTTAATATGTGTTGCACAGCTGTTGACACTTATGCAAATTGTTAGGAATTGCATGAGGATAAGTACTTATACCAGTTATATATAAAAAAAAAAAAAAAACTGAAGGGTATAGCCGTAGAAATAATAAATGAATTATTGGTAACGTAATTTTAATTACTTATGTTTAAAAATGTAAAACTAACTGTTAAAAGAGGGATATTCCAGAGTCAGTAATGAAAAGCTGAGAAAATGTACTGCTAGATTACCTTACTTGTTAACAAACTAACTTGCCCATAATACGTCATTGTTTACATGGTAGGTTGTAAAATCTTGGCACAAGGTAATCAAGGAGGAACCCTCTTTGAATCACCGATCCCTGATTATATTTTGGTGATCCGGTGTGGTTGATGTAACATGAGCGGATTTGAAACCAAGACATGATGTTGTAACCTTTCCGATGAAACAACTTCAAAATATTGTGTATACTTTTGGTTCTTTGATCGTACCACACTCACCCCTTACTTTTATCAATAAGTTCCTTGCACAGGCCTGGGTCCCAAGTGGGAAGAAAAATCAAAGGTTTAATCATTCTAATGATATAAAAACGCATTCAAGCTTATTTTTGTGTAATCTTTTGCGAAATGGCGTTAAACTCTACAACTCTACAGCCAGGTCGATAGAAAACACCGTGAATTTCTATGTCGTTCTATCGGTTTGCAATTTTATACGCAGTAGACTCCCTCTTATCCGTACTCCTCGGGACCGAGGCCAGTCCGGATAACGGGGTTTCCGGTTAAACCAACGTCCACAAAAACTGGTTATGTAACCCAAATATTTGCTTTTAATTTAGGAGGGCATTGTACTTAGACACGCGATCACTGGTCTCAAATCTTTCCCACGAGAACAGTCGTTTCAGTACCGCCCACTTTCTGCCGATCTAGTCCGGTTCCAGTTAAACTGAAGTCCGGTTAAAAGGTGTCCGGATAAGAGGGAGTCTACTGTGAAATTATTTATTTGTTCTTCTGAGACGAATCTCGTTTTGATATGATTGAATGGAATAACACAAACACTACTTGTACCCCTAGTCATGCAAGAACAGAATGTTTCTCACCTCTCCACATGTAAGGGCCACTTCGGTGCCCGGTCTAAGTAGCTCTAGAAACGCACCCTCTGGCAGTCGGTACATTTTATCCTGGAAATGAGGAAAACATTATAATAGGCGAAGCTTAAAGTGTAGTAAATATATAACACGTTAATTAGATTGTTTAAACATTAGTAGTGTTGGTTTAAGCTATGGTAGCATTGTTAGGAATTGTACTATAGCAATGGAAATATTAATAAGCTATACTTATTTTATTCAAGAAAAAAGTTTAAGAATGATTGAGTTTTAAAACCTACAACCAAATTCTTTGAAGGGGAGATAATAGTGTGAAGGTTTTTTTTTACTCTTGATTAATAGTAGGAAAGTATTCGACATTTGCTAGAATGACATTTCCAACACAACGTAGTTTGTCGTTCGTGAAAGATAAATTTTGAAACAAAACAAAATGGAAACTTTTGACAAATTGTTTGAGACTCTGATTGTGACAGGCTTGATTAATAGGTCATAGAAGCAACTCAGTAGAAATGTTTTGTTTGGGCTAATGGTAACATTTCAATAACAATTCCCTTTGTTTTCTTTTGGTTAAAAACGTAACAAGTAACTAATGTGAACTCTTAATAATTGTTTAGAGAATATAATCCGTCATAACCCAACAAATACATTTTTATTCAAGATGTTTGATAATATTAATTAGCATTCGCGCATTTAAAAATATTTTCAACTGTATAAAATAAAAAAAAAAACAGAAAAGTCTGGTCATCACATTAATTCAAGTAAAAATATAGAATAATGTCTGTAATAATTACGATTATTTTTTTACCAAGTAATATTTTCTTTGTCACAATATGTTCCTTAGATGCATAATGTTTCTGAATAAATTTCGTAGTAATTGACAACAAGATGAATCATGGAATTTTCCTCGAAAGATTGCTTCACTGGTTCCTCGTTTCATAAAAGTTTTTCATCGTTATTGAGATAAAGTTTATCAACGAATATCAGCTAGAGCAACTTCTCACAAAGATTTTAAGTATTTTTTATGTTTAGGAAGAATAAAAATACCATAAAATTAAACATTAAAACAAATGCATGTTATCTTGTGACTAGGTTTTGATCTTAAATTTGTTTTAGTAGGAGGGATATAGATTACACAGCATTGCGTCAAAGAGTACACACTATTGTGTCATTTTCGTAGGTTCTCTTACTGTTTTAAGCTTTAGACGCATCTGTAAATGGTGTGTTTTTTAAAGAACTAAATATCAACTAAATATAGCTGAATTGTGTATTGTTTCGTCATATAAAGCAAAAAGGACTTTACAATTCACAACGCAGTTGTAGAGAAGATTGTCAACAATATAGTGGTAAAAGTCGAGGTAGAAAATGTGTTTACTCTGCAATGAAACGATCTAACCAATGACGTGAAAGAGTTAAATGAGATGAAAGGAATCAAAAGAGTTGCAAACAGGAAAAGTATCCTGACTCATGCATGTAGACTAGACCATATAGCCTGCAATATTCTTTTTAGAAAATATACAAAAAAATTAAGGTTTTTTTCATTTTTCATTTTATTCTGTTGATTAGCTCACTATTATAGATTGTGTTGGCACTATTTCACAGATGTCTGCATCCCATAATGTGTCCTCTAAAAAAAAAATTATAAATAAAAAATGAGAGAATGGATATTGGTTTAAATTAGTCACACCAGAAATCTTTGCACTTAAACGGAGATGAGTATTTTACAGTAATACTACTATTGTACAATAACTAAAAGACCCATCGGAATTTGTTTCTAAAACTTCCAATGATCTGTGGGACCGATCAAAAACACCATTGTCAGATATTAAAATGTATCTATAGATTTTTATACATCATATAAGGCTATCGAACAGTGTTTTAAAAATGTATTTTTTCATATCTGTGCTGTATATTGAGTAAAATAAACGATATTACAAGTGTTGACATTTCCACATCCCAGCGGACGTTGAGAGCGGTACACGACAGATATCCCCTGGAGGGAAGATAAGACGATTTGCAGTTTTTATAAGCTTCACCGAGTTTAACATGTCGAGGCTGGTTTATATCCTACCACAAAACATGTTTAGAGATGCTTCAAATATAAGTAATTGAACTCTTGAAATTCTATATTAAATCCCTAACGAGTTCTTTTAATATTTAAATGGCAAGTAAATTGTACGTAATAACCACCGCCATTAAAATAATGAAATATATATTCACAGAGAATTAGTAGTTTTCTTAAATGGTTACATGAATTCTCGTGAAATAAAAATCGCTTAAAATATTAAGATCAATACTATGATGCTCACAATTTTGAACATTCAATGAAATGCATGATTCTTTTTCATCTGAAGATATATTTTGAACAATGTACGAATATTACTCAACTTCTAATAGATTAATTAAATCAAACAATGGCTCAAATTTTCACTTATTCCGTTGACTTTGGTTGTCTGTTTTTAGTCTAGTCTGAAGTAATCTAGGTAAGGATTTAAAAGCGGGACTAAAACAATAGACTTTGGATAATTTAAACTGTCTTATCATAATTCGTTGTGCTTCAAAAGTTAAGTTTGAAGTATAGTTTGGCACGGGTTTGGCATGCATTTAATGATCAGAATTAAGTGAGTTTATGTTAATTTGTTTTCTCTTGTTCTTGTGCAGATTTGACAGCCTACACTTGAAGTCGGTAATATGATATTTTCACCACTATTCAATACATGGTTTATTTGACGTTTCATTTTAAGAGTTAGTGAAATAACCTTAAATATTTAATGAAATAAAGAGAAAATATCAATGCACTCAATACAGGACACAAAACAACAAGGTTCGAGGAAGAAAGTCTATTCTCCTTTGCTAAAACATCTGCAATTTCAGTGTGTGTCTATAATGGATGAGTTCATAATGTTCCCGTGGTTTTGAAGATATCCTATCTACTCAAATAATACGTACTCAATTGTCTCAAGCATTATTGACTCTCCTGCGTTATAAAGAGCCCTTGAACAAACCCTTCAGTTGGGCTTTTACTGAAGACTCTCCTAGCAAGAGTCTTAAAATGCCAGTTGCCGTTTGGAAGAATTATTGTTTTATAACTTATGTTTGGGGTTTAGTGTAGTTGAAATTGAAATTGAAAAATCAATATAAACCATAACTATACGTGTTGTGTGTGTAAATAAATTGCTTAATGATGTTTATAAGAGTTGAGTACTATTTAAATTGTTTTCAAGATCAATAACTTTATTAAGGGTAGACGTATGAGGATGTATTTGATTTAATTGTTACAATTACTACTATGAGACAACAAAAATGTGTGCTATAAGCTCATTTGTTGGATTTTAAATTTCATTTATGTTTGTGATGAATATAAGGTTATAGTTTAAGTTTTGGTTTAATGGTATTGGTTGTCGTTTAAGATTCAATTTACAATATGCTTTTATTGTATGCAGTTGCTAAATGACGGATCAAGAAAGAAAAGAAAAATAGGTGATAGGAAACACATATATATTTTGGAAAAGTTTTTTTTATTGTTATGGTTACAAAAAAACAATTGTAGTTGTATTTTTATGGTAAAAATGTAAATATTCATCAGGAGCACTCAGTAAAATAAAACACCTTTGTGGTTTATATACTTACTATGATAGGGATCTAGTTTCATTTCGAATATATTTGGGATTCATTCAAGTGCCAAGAGACGGAATATTCACTACATTACATTGAGTTAAATCCTGTAGTATTTTGAACTATTCTTCAGGTAAATTGGGTTCCTAAAACCAATCTATTTCTATGTTGGAAATGGGTTTTATTTTTAATATCTCTAACGGAATTTTTAATTTAGGATATCTTATGATTTGTTTAAATGCTATGTCAAATAAAGCTGTAGAATACTTAAAGAACTAAATATTCACTTTGAGCCAGGTCAAGATGTATTTAGCAACATAATGTTACTAAGAGAGAAACTGATTTGCTAATTAGTAATTTAGAATACTTTTGGGGTTTATATAGTTACAATGACAGGAGCGAATTAAAGTTTGTAATATACTTTTAAGCATTATCGTTACAAATAGAAAGAGGAGTACCAATTTTAAAATATTTTTGGAGCTCAAATTTTAAAAAAATTACACACCTAGAGTAATTTTGGAATTTGTACAAACTATTTTATGTAGTAATTGTCTCGGTTTAAATTTACGGCCCTACGTGTGCCATAATTATTTTGACTTGTTATTAGGTAGCCATAAACACGGTCGACATACGGTAACAGTTTTATTATACAACGGCTATGTACCTCATGTCTGTGACAGGGCCGCATTTACATACAAACCACCAGATGGGCCAAATGGTGCTAAACAATGTGTATTACAGCTGGGCCGGTACTAGTCCAAACTCCGTGTTGTGTTGGATATTATAAATAATTATTTGTTTCAATTTACCTTTTCATTAAATACAATCATTAAGATTAGCCTGGGATTGTTTTTCACACTAGCCTACTTCAGGCTAGACCTAGGGGTTGCGACATTATCACTTGGATAAAATCCATTGGTGATATTTGAACCAGGGACATTATTTTCCACGGCAATGCCATTTACAAAATACAATCAGTTAAGATTATAATAAGATTATAATAAGATTATTTAAATACAAAACATTATATTACAACAAAACAACATTTCATCAGCAATTGCATAACAATAACAGCTATAAAACTATGACATAACGATAACAATAACAATGCAGAATGACCATGAATAACAATAACAAGGCGTAAGAATATTAATAACGATAACAATGACAATAAAATGTATGTCTGAATCGTTTGGTACGATGTCTGAGTTTAACTGTATTCTAAAGTAAGTGGTGTAGTTCCTCAAGTCTGGTGTATATCTGTATTTGGATGTATAGTGCAATTGGGTGTGAATTAATTAACCGTGTAGAATTTTGTCTTTAAGGTAGTGAAGGGGGGGGGGGGATTTTTTACCTCTTTGGAACGAAGTCCCTCGCTTTAACCACTAGACCAACTTACTCCCTCAAAAAGTTATATTACAAATTTAAAACATTAAAAACTTTGAAACGTTTAGCTTTATTCAACTAAACAATAGATGACTTTTATCAGATGTGAATTTATACTTGAACCTCTTTTAAGTTACCCAAAGCAAGTAATTATTATTTTTCTAGTTTGACAAAATAAAGATAAGCATAACATTTTAATCACCCCATCCATTCACTATGAAGATTTGTTATTTAGTAAAATATATATATAAAAAAACACTGTTAAATATACTTCAAATAATTTTAAATAAAGATTAATAAAGATATAGGACTAGAAAACACGTGGTTCAATGACCTTTATTCCCTCATTACAAAACAATGCAATCTCAATTCCTCATAATATACTTAATCAATGTATCATTCTTTACATGGAAAATTACTATAAAATTCAAGCATGAATCCAACAAGGTGTTTCAGAACCAGAGGGGTTGTATAACATGCTCCAATCAGAAGGGTTATGCTGGGTTAACATTTTTCTTAAAACCTTTTTATATATTCATACCCGAGGAACAAACTAGATTAGCTTACGTTGAACAATATAGTTTGTCAGTCGATCTTAGAACCTTTTTTTAAAGAAAACCATTACAATCAAACATCTTGAATTACAACCTTTTGTTTTTTGACCATAAATGGAATTTAATGTACTTGATGTGTAAGACCAAACTTTATCAATACATATATTATATACATGAAACAAAACAAAAAAATATAATATTTACGTTAAATTATATTCAGTAGATAGAGCATGTTGTGGGATTTTCCAACTGAAGTGACTGAGCAATGAAGCGGAATATTTTGTTTGAATAAAAAATTTGCAAACAAATTGTTGGATGGGTTTCAGTCTCTGGGGCCAACGTTGACAAATATCTCACCACCCTTAGCCTCCCCAGAGATGACGGGATATACAGTGTGAATCCATACCAGTGGAGAGGCGGGATGGGAAAAACTGTGCTACAAAATCAATTTATTTAATAACATTTTAATAATTAGTTGTGGCAATGTTAAACAAATCATTGTTATGCAATGATTTCGTAATGTTTCTTTGGATATTGAATTAATAATTAGTTCTATGAATACCCTAGTGGATCATTAGGTTGCGTTAGGTTAGGTTAGGTGAGGGTTCTTGCCTTAAAATGAATGGTTCAATAACAAGTTGGGTATTTTAAGGGGCTAGGTTAGGTTAGGGTAGGCTACGTTAGGTTAGGTGAGGGTTCTTGCCTTCAAATGAATGGTTCAATAACAAGTTGGGTATTTTAAGGGGCTATGTTAGGTTAGGTTAGGCTATGTTAGGTTAGGTTAGGCTAGGTTAGGTTAGGTTAGGTTAGGTGAGGGTTCTTGCCTTAAAATGAATGGTTCAATAACAAGTTGGGTATTTTAAGGGGCTAGGTTAGGTTAGGTTAGGCTAGGTTAGGTTAGGTGAGGGTTCTTGCCTTCAAATTAATTGTTCAATAACAAGTTGGGTATTTTAAGGGGCTAGGTTAGATTAGGTTAGGCTAGTTTAGGTTAGGTTAGGCTAGGTTAGATTAGGTGAGGGTTCTTGCTTTCAAATTAATGGTTCTATAACAAGTTGGGTATTTTAAGGGGCTAGGTTGGATTAGGTTAGGTTAGGGTTCTTTCCTTAAAAATTAATGGTTCAATAACAAGTTGGGTATTTTAAGGGGAAACATACCATTTCGTTATTCACGATATTAATGATGCTACATAACAAAGCATTACGTAAGGAGGGAAGTGACCCAAATTTTGAACTACTTTCCTTACAAAATGACCACCACTGTAGCTATTCTGTGTACGTAGCAAACATATACGTCACGTTTCCTTATTAGTGAAATAAAGCTGCTTTGCATGTTACATACATGAGTTTATTTTTAACCACAAAACAGCTTTGAGTGCAAGAAAAGTTTGTTGATAGACAAAATGTCAGGACCAAGTGCAGTATAAATCATTCAGGAGCTTTTGTAATAATTACAGCTGTTTCCCAAGGAGTGGGAAAAGAATTGGTTAAACAACCACTCTGCATAATTGTGCTTTGAGCTTCAGATGCAGAGTCAAGGGAATTTACACAGCTTAAGCGGAACTTTTATTTAGACTACAGTTATAGCAACAGTGGAAATACTTAAGAGAGATTTAAATAAAAATACCCCTGGATCAGCTTACCTGCAGACCAAGCAAATTGAGCAAATTTGCCTGGTTGGATTGTTAGTAAAATGTTTGCATAAAATGTAAAGATTAATTCCCTATTTACATAACATTAGGACTAACTAGTTTGTTTTTTTTTTTGGGGGGGGGTTGTCCTAGGACGCTAGACACGAGCCCAGAATTGTTTTTTACATTACTTCAGGCTAGACCTACTTGTTACGGCATTATCACTTAGATAAAACCCATTTGTGATTTGGCGGGATTTGAACCCGGGACCCCTTGAACCGGAGTCCCACGCTCTAACCACTAGACCAGCTCGCTCCCTAGGACTAACTAGTAGTTAGGTTTGCTGCTGCAGGAAAGGTTTAAAAATGTGTTTTAAGTATAAGTTAATATACATAAATTAGTATGAAATGATTTGATTTGCCAAGCTTGATGAAAATACAGAATATCCATAAACAAGCAACCTGGTTTTTTCTCCATTACCCTAAATTGCATACCTTTAAGTTAAAACTTTTTTAATGTTTTGCGTAACTAATAACCATACAAACACCCTTCAACATAATAAATCGTTTGTTTTTTAGATCTTTGAAATGGATTCGAGAGAAATTGGTAAAATATTCCAAGAATTGAGGGCAACAATTGGAATCAACTATTCCCCCCCCCCTAATGAACCCCCCTAAATATAATGTGGGTCCAGGATTTACCTTGAAACCTACAGTAATAGGTTCCTACATGTGAAGTTCACTAAAAAACGGAACAAAGTATTTCTTTTATGAATACTTTTTATGAAATAGTAAGTTAGTACTACTTTTCAAGCTATATTGATATAATTAGATGGAACTCATATTTTCTTTTTATCTTTTGTGTGGAAATTTCAGGTTCAAATGCTAGAGTCAGATATTTTATGTCATTGATCCATCAATTGATTAGGCTTACTGAATGGCCTGTTGTCGGGTTGTACAGGAATAAGTCCTAATTTATTTGATAACTAAAATACCCAAAAATAAAAAATAAACCACCATAACCAATGGGTTAAAAATTTGACTATTGAGGCATACAATCACCACCTAAAATCTTTAATTTAGTACTCTTTCTTACTTTTATAGTTCAAAACATAACGTGAAATCTAGTTTATTAGGCAGTAACAGTAATGTCACCGTAGCCAACCCCATAGCACAGGTATCATACGACAATTACATTATACAAGGTGGCTTGTACCTCAACCCATGCTGTATGCATTTACATGCTGAACACCAGATGGGCCGAATGGCCGTAAACGTGTCTAAAGCGTATATATTACAACAATTGATCACCTCTGACGCCTATTCTCACAAACCTTCCGTAGCTATGAAATGAAGATGGTTTCAAAAATCTTTCCTAAGCTTATCTTATAATGGATTGATACTAGGCTGGAGGGAATTTATGTGCTTTGCCGATAACTAAACCAGGATAAAAATTACACATCGGGCGTGGTTCCTTACTTGTTGGTATTATACCAGCTTAACAAGGTATTATGTAAACATAACCACAAAGTAGAGAAAAAGCTGGTTACGCCGTTTAAGCCATGTAGTGGATTTAGGAATCGAGCTTAATGCTTTTACGGATACTTTATTAAGCTTGTTACTAGGCCTACTGCTCAAAAGGCGGTCATATAAAAGTATGTGACTCAAACAGTTTTAAGGTCATGATGATTTTATTTTCTTCAGACTATCTAAACACGGAGGAAATGTTGAAGTATATGTTTATTGTGGCCCACAAGTGCCAACTAGTTTTCACAGACATTACATGGCAACCAGTTTTGGAACAGAATAGTGTGCTATATTTATGCTGCACGGAGATATGCAGATTTATTTATGATTATCTTATGACCCTTAGCATAGGTGGAGTACAGTCTAAAAATGGCCCACTTTTTCAAGGACAGTTATTTACCAAAGTTTACCAAATAACCTTGTATTTAAATTATCATATATTTTTTTTATTTGCATAACATTTTATTTTAATTATAAATATATATTAAATGGTACAAAACTTACGTCATTGTTGGTGTAGGCTATCGGGCCGTCGCTGGCTTCCCATTTATTGGCTATTCGGATGGTTTCGGCAGTCTTTTGCTGTATTGACTTAGTGTCATCGAGGAGGGTTAGTTCATAAAACTCTTGGATATCTGAAACAAAACAAAACATATGTAAAAGGTATGCCTGGGTGTATATTACCAAGGTGTTGTCTGTAATACAACATAACACGTCTATGTTGTCTGTAAAACATAGACGTTATAGTAAATTATAAGTACCAAACATTGATTAGTTGAAGTCCCACTATATAATTGAATTTGTTATAAAAACATACTTCTACCACAGATAAAATTAATTCCAACACATTCTATAATAAAAGCTTATCTTATAAATATTTGTATGTGTAAAATATATATATATAATATAAAAATATATAAAATATAACATGATACACATAAAAATTATCTTCCAAAACGAATTATATAAATAGTATGTATTTATTACGCTTTTTGTATTATAAGATAAAATATTATACATGTGTACTGATAAAGGCTAAAATCCTGAAATATTGCCCTTATTTTAAACAATACAGATTTTTTTAGTTGTATTCAACGATGACAAGCTTTTAAAAAAGCATTTAGATCTCAACCAAATGAACAATAAAAAACCATTGCCAGCATATATAATTGCTTAAAAGTTTCTTCTTTTTCTTGTTACAACATTATGTGAAATATAACAGTATTGAAGTGGTAGGAGTATTGATACACTCTACTACTTATACAGTACTTTGTACAAAATCCCAGGTCCCTTGCATGATCAAGGGTATACAGGTATTATCAAAGGCCGACGAAAGGGCTAGTTTACAACATATCCACGGGTCTACAGTCGTATTTGCACCTCAAAGACCCGCTCGTTACTAACTTTTCATTTGTATTCTCAGACCATCTTTACTTTTTGTAGGAGGCTGGTATGATTGCGAGATCCTGCATATTAACTGGAACATAAAAAGGACGATATGCTCGTTTACATCGTGAAGATTGTTGTTTTGTTTGTGTTCTTTTTTATATATTTTTTACTTTAAAGAACCCTGGTATAGTTAAAATCTCATGTCAACCTTAATCTGATTACATTGATAGTTAATTCTTTACTTTATACTTTCTTCTGAAATGGTGACCATACAAAATACGTATTTTAAGCCAAGTATGAATGGAGATTAGTGTAGGATGAGTGGTGCAATCTTGCAGTCTTGTTAGTGACCAAGCCGACATATTCCTTAGACACAGCTATTAATTAATAGCCCATACAGCTAATGGCAACCAAGGGACCTACATCAGTGGAATTCAAATCTCATTTTTGCCTTCGTATATACGAATTGGTCTAACTATCGGGATAGTACTGCGAATAGTCGTAGTACTCACTAGTGCAATATGACTCTAATTTAACCTAATCTCGACAAAAATGTGCTTGTATGTCTTTGTGTAATTGTAAGTCTTTTTGAATTCTCTTCATAGCTCAAATGATGAGAGAATCATGCATTGCGTAGAAGTCAACTGGAAAGGAACATAATTATATTTTTTCCTACAGTTACCTAACAATGTACATGTTCTCTCACTGATTTGAGAAAGCAAAGTGGCCAATTCACTCCTCAGTGAGACAATGTTAACATTGTCTAACTCTAATTACTTTGTCTCACTCCTGATTTGCAACGTGAAGGCACGAAATAGTGAGCGCGTAACATGTAGACAAGGTCGTATGCGCACCAAATACGTTGGCAGCACTGGCTGTAAATCAGCTGGTCAGCTGTTATACTGTTGTATCATTCAATGTCATATTGAAAGTTCATTTCTGTGTAATAATATGTTAGGTTATTTACCAATTTATTTGTTTTATGGTATCCGTAGGAAAAATATAATGTACAACTCGAGTGCAAAGTGCAATTACATCACTCGAAAAACCATTCCTCATTCGCCTACGGCTCGTGAGTAAGTATTTCTTTCGAGTGAGTCAATCGCTCACTTTGCTCACTAGTTCACAAATAACTATAGAGCTCGCATTAGCCAGTTGAAAGTATATTTATAATTTAGTCTAACACATTTGGTTCGAATAGTGACAATCACACATGCTGTTAAAATCTGCACACACGTGAATTGTTTGAATATGTACAAACACTTTGTATAACCCAAACACATATTGTGAGCGTCTTAAAAACATGGATTGATTCCCTATACAAATTTGCCTATGAATATTTTTAGAGTGCTATCGGCAAAGGCAAATGAAATATTTATGAGTCAAGTCGCCAAGTGTGGAACACGTCCCGAGTATCGAGCGAGTTCATGTTTATCAAATCACTGCAACATCCTCCAGAGAATAGTAATGTCCCTTAAATGTGTCCCTACTGAAGCGTATGAATATGGTTTGGTCATAGAATCCTAAACCTATTTACAGCCTTTGAATTCTTTGGTAGTACTGTTCAGTGCCATTACCAACGAGTACATGAAATCACTGAAATCATCCATCATTTTGATGTAAACATGCTTGATTATTTTGTATCAGGTATTGATCATCTTGTCCAAATCACAATGACGTTTAAAGCATTAATGATTCGCTACAGGTTTCTATATTTACTTTCTATCTAAACTCGTTATAATTACTGTAAATGCAATAGTATATTTCATACCTAGGGCCAAAAATGAGGTTTTGCTGGCTCGAGATCAGTTTTTAAGTTCAAGACAAAGTCGAGAACATAAAATGATCGAGCTGCAAAACTATGCCCGTGTGGTACGAACGCCATTTTTCACCACAAAAAATTGAGAAAATATATACAATAAATGCACACAACTACAACTTTAAGGCTATGTGAAGAAATATTGAGAGAAATCTGCAAAAGTTTTAAATAGACTGTGGTGACAATAAAATAAGTCTATTGAAATACATTACATTTTACTGTATGTAAAATGGCTAAAACCATCAAAGTGTGGTGAAATGTTTTATCAGTTTGTAATAATTAGAAATGTTTCTCCAGCAATAATAATGCAAACAATGTTTCAGGAAGATTGAATGATTTATTCACTATTTAAAACTAATATTTTCTTCATATAATACAAACCATTAAGTTATTTCCTTTTCCTAACTCATAAAAAATCAATAATTAGCAACTCTCAAAACATAAAATTTCGATTTAACTTGCTAGTATCAAGACAAAAACTTTACAACTTCTAAGTTCAATACACCATTTGCATTTACAATTCGATACATCCGGTCTGGTGAACAGGATAAGAAATCAAGAAAGCAAGGAAAAAACAAACGCACAAGAGAAAACTGTGTAAACCTGGTCGAGCGTAAGTGAGTTTGAAGGAAAGACAGACTTTGTTTGCTTTGGTATCGAAATGTACCTTTGATACTGTATCGTGTTCCTGCGAAACAAACTGTACAACAAAGAATTACATGTTAGATTTGTTGTATGACTTCTAGTGAAGGTAGTTGTTTAGTTCAGAGAAATTTAACCTCCTTTCCCTTTTTAGGTGGACCTGTAGTGTTCAAGGTGTGATATCCGCAGGTCTCAACATAAACCTAAAATCTATTGGTTGAGAAGTTTCCCGTACATTACTACACCAAGTTGGCCTCGGTATAATAAGTTCGATACCAGTCAAACATTTAAATTTATATAGTCTCAAATGCAATATTACAACGATCGATTTACTACACATGAATGTACTACAGGCTATCAAACAACAATTTGAATTCCTCTTCATTGTAATCAAACATTTTAAATATATATTTTGTTTACAGTTGAGGGCTACTAGTGTTTTTAAATAAGGAAGTCAAAAATCTAAACATTTAGATCACGTTAATTAATTAAAACGAACTAACCATATCATGGACCAAGATCACAGTTGAGAAATGATTACATAACAAATTAATTTAAATAAAATAGTTAGCAAATGTATTCGTTGTCATAAGCACTCATTGGGACTCTTTCGATACACAAAAAAATTCCTAGAAGATTAAAGGGAAATGTCCTTCTGCTATTGTCTATAAATATAAATAGTTTTTAAAAGTTCTTGGACAAATGTTTTTATAATAATATCCATGGGTTTACCAGCCTTATTTTATGTTAATATTCTATTTATATTTTGGATTATTACTTAGCTTAAGATTTTTAAAATAACGAACCAGATCTAGAGCTAAGGTACAAATGTACGGTATTTATACCCAAGTACAATTTGTAAACAAGTATGATTTAAATTAGTGTTGTGAAGTTTGAACATGATGGAAAAAATCCTATTTATCAGCTTTCTTACATTTGGGTTAGCTTCTCTGGAGATATCGTCTTTAATACCATTAAATCAAATATTCGATAGGTCGCCGTTTCAATTCTGAGTAAAGTAGGTGACAGTTTAATGGATGTTGTAAACTATAGACCTACCCAGCTGTTCTTTAAAAACAGGGCTTCAAAAAATTGACAGAAATATGATCTAGCCAGCTGTAAAAGTACACCGATAATTTAGCTGAACTCATATTTAGATTTTAATACATAAATACATTGCTGTGTTATAAAAGTAAATAAAACTGTAGATCGTCTTAAGGACCAACCTTTATTCTTGATGGATCTAAATACAAACCTGGTATATACTGAAAGATTATCTAGAGTTGTGGCCCTAAGCAAAGTTTGGTCAAGGCAATTATGTTAAATAAATATTCATGATAAGAGGAAAACTCAAATAAAACTTCAAAAAAATGTACAAAACAATTTTAATAAAGCATTAATAATTAATGTATGGCGTCAATTTAATAATACAAAAATATCTAAGACCTGTTTCTTCATCAAAATTACTCTAATACTACGTCTAAAGTGGTCCATACACCAATTCGATTCAAAAGACAGAAACTGAGAAAATAATGTTTCCAGATGAGAAAATACACTGAGAATAGAAAGATTTTGTGGAAACGTGAGTCGCTGCAAAACAAAAGGATTCATGATGTTTGCCTCGAATCTGAGTCCCCTTGAATCTAAAGTCACGTAGGCAAACCTGCCTGTCTTATTTACATGCAGGGAATACATGCCTGTTTGGAATATACAAAAAACACTTAGAATAAAAAAAACAAAGCAAGTAGCCAAGCAAGTACTTAAGAAAATCCTTTGTACCAAAAA